AAATTTAACCCCCCCCCCCCCACCCACACACTCCTTTTCTGTTCGGAGATGTCATTAATTTATCTTAAATTAGCTTTCCAGACTCCATTGGGAGACTCAGATTTAATCCCCCCACAGCATCTTGAGGCAGTTAAGATCAGAAAAGTGGTTTACCTGACATAAGCTCTGCACAATGACATTGAATATGAGAAGAAAAAGGACACGCAATGTTTTCAAACTCACCTATGTTCATTACATTACATACACTGGCTTTAGTTTAATAATAGTATCAGTATAGTTATAGTTTTGTGTATGGACCTGATTGAGATTCCGTTCGAGTCTTATTAAGTCCTTTGGAAGTTACTGGATACTCACATCCCATGGTTTAGATCACTCCCTGCAAACGCTGTAATGTTTTGTGTAAGTGAAAATACAACTCTTTCTTAGACAGACAATTATTTAAATTGACCTTGTGTATTTTTAGTTTCTGAGGAAAGAGGAAATGACCTCTTTTTTTCAATGATAAATGTTACAGGAAGTAAGCTTTTTATGCCCACTTGTCACTTTTGGCTGGAGGAGTACAGTCAGAAATGTTAGTAATAATTAGCAGTCTTAGTATTATTCTATCTCTAGTTCCTGAAGTTAGGAGACATCTTTGTTAATATTCATTAGCACTGGAATTAAATATACTTTCATAGGTCTTTTTTTAAGACATGTTATAGAGGATGGCAAGTATTCAATCTTAAACTCTTGTAGCACAGTAGGAAATACTAATGTCACAGTCTGTGAAGAACATTTTTTAGCTCCTTTATGAAGAGATATTTAATTCTGTGTCACTGCACTGTTTTCTTGTGGTTGAAAATGATTCATTTCTCTATATCTTATGTTAGAAGAAGTTGTAAGAAGAATGTAAGAAATCATCTATACCTTCACCAAGTTTTTTTATGTGGTTTGGAAAGGGTATGGAAATTGTTGTGGAGAGCGTTAAGATAAAAGAAGAAATACGAGATTTATATATATCTAAGAAATACTAGCATCCTCAATTTTTACTTACAATTTCTTTCAGTTCAAGCAAAATATGCATGCAATATATTTTGCAGGTAAATTAAACTTAAAAGCGAGCTCAGACCCAAGTCTACCCTTGGACTTTATTCAAGTAAAATCCCATTACTTCTAATGGGAGTTTGACCCTAGAAATCTGTTATAAATGGGTCTTAAGTAAGAAAGCTTTTAGAATTCAAAAATAGATTGTTCAATATAAATTTCTTAGTATTTTTTGCTGGGCAATTTCTGTGCAATTGTCAATAAATGTAGTGGAAATTCTGCCGTTAAGTCTTCACATATTGCTTTGAATTGCACAGGCTGATATTTCAGAAGTACCCAGTATAAAAACCAAAGCCTTCTTCAAGTGCCTATGTTGCAGAAAACCTGGTGGATGCTCTGAGAAGAGCATTTTTGAATACTTGAACTTGGGATTGTTCTAAATGCTAATTACCATAATTAGGAGTATGGAAAGGATGTTACACAGCACCAGCTCATATAGCTAAGCTTCCAAAATCAGTATTATGACTCAAAGAATACTGAAATCTATGCAGGCTTCTCAATCAGTGTGCTTTTCAGTATTTGATTGAACTTTAAAATGCACTTCAAATTTAGCAAGTCACCACACCAAACAACTACATAGAAATATAGTAGAAGACAACATGTTGTATTCTTCTGTGTGAAAGACCTTTTATAAAAAGGAAATAAACAAACAAAAAACTCCTACTCACTGCCACTAGATTAACAATAGATTAAATAATAAGAGAAAATGTGGCCAATTTACTATGATTTTCCCGGTTTTAAATTATAATAAATTCATTTAATCAGATTTGAAGTACAGTAGTGACAAATAACACAGATCTGAAAATATGTATCAATAAAGGTTATGAGCAAAATCCTCAGTCTTCATTCCTAGTCAAATAGCATTTAGCCATGTGCTTAACTTTAATTTAAAGTCAGTGGGACTGAAGTTGATCCTTAAAGCCTAAATGACTTTAAATGCCTCCGTCAATAAAGGTAGCCGTAAGCACAATCTAAGCACTTTTCTGTATCAAGATGATAATTTATTAAATCTGGCAACGTGTGCAGTTCTAGTAGATTCAGGAAAGCTAAATATATTTTAGCACTGTCCTTTTATTTCTGTACTCTGATGGCAGAAAGTAAGGATTTAAGGCTTGACTGATACATTAAATGCATTCCATACTAAGATATATTTCTAACCACGTAGTCAATAACATAAGCTCTGTGGAGCTTGCTTTACTCCTTTTTCAGTCAATGGACTTCTTGCTTGATCAAGGAATGAGTAGCCAGGTTCCCACTGATCAATGCAGACCACTTAGGCTTTGTGTGGCAAATGCAATTGTTGTTGCCTTACTCTGGAGTGCTTAAATTTGTAACTTTAGGATTTATGTAAGAGAAAAGAAAAAATGAAAACGTTAATGACTCTAATTTGATACCTCGAGAGTGGCAATTTCAAGGTGCATAAGATGATGGAAATCTGCACTGGAATAGCAGTGCAGAACCTACGTCACCTACAAATATTAAAATTCTGTAACCATAGCATTCCATAATTCTGTATGTGGTATTATTTCTAGTGGCACTGTTTTACAGCTTAGTATAAAAAATACAATTTCATTGTTTCTTTTTCTTTTTGTTTTCTTTGTTTTATATGTTAGCATGGATGTTAGTGTTGGATGAGGACCTGGAAAATGTCTGCATGTAAAATTCCATTGCTTTTGAGTTTTACACACACACACACACACACACACACACACACGTACATATATACACACACACACACTACAATATTAGAAATTCTGAAAGTGTACAGTGTATTTTTTCTATCCTTGTGTAACTGAAAAATAGGTTAACGGATTTTGCTCAACTGTCTAAAGAAATTCGTCTTTGAGCTGAGACCAAGCATGGAAAATTTCAGCTGAAAAGAAGAATTTTTCAGAAAGTAAAGAGCATGTGAAAACTGGGGGTTATAATGGAAAACAGAACATAACCTTAAGCTATAATGCCATTTTCAATAGTGACAGTAGAAATGCTAAATGAGAATAGGGAACATTTTTTGTATACAGATACAAATAGTAAAAGTTTAGGAAGCTTCCCTTCTCTTTAAACCAGTTTCCCGTACAAAAAAAAAAAAAAA